AAAAAAAAAAAAAAAAAAAAAACTACGGTGAGAAATTGGAAATGGATAATAGTATTCTGTCAATCTTGAGAGATAAAAGAATGTATAGTAGAATTCTACACGTTTCTTACGAGTAGAGAAATTGCAAAGAGAGAAAAACAGTGTTAAAAATTACAAAGAGAGAATTTGTGTTTCTTAGATTTGTTGGAATACAACACTTGATATATGAACATGCTATTTTATAAAATTAACACAAGATTTCAGAAATTCTCTCGTTGAGAGCGATTCCCATTCTCTCGTTGAGAGCGTCTCTATTTTGGCCTAAATTTGATCCTTGAGAGCGAGTTCCTATTCAGATTGGATTTGCCTTAATCCATTCTTCCTTAATCCATTATCGTGATTTGCTTGTTCTTTCTCCAGATTGGATTTTTCACTGGTTTTTAGGGTTTTAGTTCGAGATGAACAGACCTAATTGTGTGGGACAAGATGATGAATTGGCTCAGCGGCTACAAGAAGTATCACTCTCTGATCGCGAATTCTCTTTCATCGACATTGCGAAGACAGATATCAAGAACAGCGACGAGGAATGTCAACGCAGCCTTTTTGGTAAAATAATTGGGGAAAAGAAGGTTAGCTGGATGGGGCTAAAAAGAACTATGAGCAACATTTGGCGGCTCCAACAACCTATGGAAATCAAAGAACTGTGCGACAATAATTTTCAATTTATATTTCAGAGTAAAGAAGATCTTCGGCGAGTGGCGTCAGGCGTAAATTGGATCTTCGATAATCAGTACTTGATTTTAGCTGAATGGCAACATGGTCTTTCTATCAATCACCCTGTATTCTCAGTGCTACGTCTATGGGTTCAAGTCTTTAATATCCCCCTGAACTGGTTGAGTGCGGAAGTCAGCATAAAAATCGATAATGTATTCAAATCTGTGGATAATGTGGTGATTGTTGGAGCTGGTAATCATGGTGGTAGGGTTATGCGTTTGCTGGTCTCTATAGACTTAGCTGAAGCTCTACCCAGTTGTGTTAATCTCCGTCTAGAAGATCAGGCTGCCAATGTTGGTTTTAAATATGAAAGGCTAGAATCTTTGTCATTACTGTGGACACATTGGTCACCTTGATCGAGAATGCAAGGCAAGGATGTCAGATATAAAAGACAAATCTTTAAAGGAAGGACAATATGGCGACTGGATGAAAGCCACGGAAAGTCATAGCTGGGCAGGGCTTAACAACTAAGAATCAAAAAGTCCTTCAAAATCTATTATCCCTCCATCTGATAATCTCTCAGTCCCTGCTCACACATCCAACAGTCAAATAGAAGAAAGCAATCA